ACTTCCATTGGCCTGTACAATTCAAATCTAATGATAACCAAATCTTCATACCATGCTTAGTCTTTCTGTTGACCATCCCAATAAATTCACAGATAGAAGATTGCCTCTTTTTTTATCCTAATGTTCTGTTTTATATTTGAAGTACATAACAGTATTGACAGTGTATATATTACACAGAGAACACTGGGAGGACAGTGGATTCAAGAACATAAGATATTTCTGCCCACCTTTACCTAATGAGGAGACTTTTCCTGTGTTTCAATTGATCTACATGGAAAAGGCCTGAAGACATCGAAAAATAATGCTGAAGGAAGAGAGTACAATACAGACTGAAAGTAATTTACTTGCTGGAACACAAACATCCCAATCAGCACACAACCTAAGGTACTCACAGGTCTAAGAGGAGCCAGGTCAGATGGGAAACCAATAGGTTTTTTTAGTCATTGGAACTTTTATACATCTTGCTGTTTTGATCTGTGCCAAAACTGTTTTTAAATGACAGAATCACACTCTGTGACAGAAATTTATCAACTGTAACCATGCTATCAAAATTATATGTCTTTTTGAAAATCATTTCTGCTCTGTAGATCCTATATATGTGTTTTCTTAGTTTGTTACAAAACAAGAGAAAATACCAGCACACATTGACAGAAAATATAGGATTTAGACAATGTAATGCTGTAACAGAGCCAAAAATCAAGACAGTTCCTAAGTTGTCTTGCTGAATCTAAGAACAGAAGTGTGTGTGCATATGTGTGTGTGTGTGTGTGTGTGTGTGTAAGTGTGTGTGTTTGTGTGTATATTGGTTGTTTGATATCACTGAAGTCTCTTCATTGTGTCTCTAACTATAATACATAGCAGTTACCTATGCCATCAAAGATGTAAACCTCAGGGAGAACTTGACATTCTCTGAGATTCTGGAGTTGGAAATGAAGGTTAACAAGGATGGATTTTGTTCCATGACTCCAAAATGACTTCATTTATTAAAATATAGAGGCAGAAGTTCTAAGCTTGTGGTAGAAAACCAGAGACAGCTGGTTAAGCAAACAAGGAAAATATACCTTATGTTTTTCCTTGCCCCAATACAAATTACTGCACACATATTTTTATGGACCATTGTGGTTTCCTCAGTACCTCTGCATGGTAGTTATGCAAAATTGGCTTTTTTAGAGGCTTAGGTATCATCCTAGAAGAGGGCAAAGAAAGGTTGGGTGAACAGTATTGAAGCAATATTTCCTGTATGCAACAGGAAGGTTGTACATATGAACCTACAATAGCTTTGAAAGTAAGTACAGACCTGGAAAAAGTTAAGCCAGGCAGTATTACATCAGAGTGGTCAAGGTGGTGGCATGAAGTCCTACCTTACTTGAAGAACTATTAGTTTTTGAAACTACTGAGAAGAGTTGGTATTCTTTAGGGATGTGTGCACTGAGAAGCTAGCCATCTTCTAGTACATAGTTCTATGTCCAGGTATACATTGGCAGAATAGTGTAAAGTCAGTGGTTCTTAAAAATAAAGAAGAAAGAAACACAGGTGCAATTGGGAAGAAATCTTGATGAGTGGATGGAAAAGGAATTGGAAGGAATAGAAACACATTATACTCATGCAGTACATGTATAAATACTACATGATATAAATATGGGGATATATGTTTATTTTAGGAAGTAAATTATTGTTTCTTTCAATTATGACAATATGTGGGGCAGTGGACCATGAGAGATAGTCTGGTCCTTGGTTGAGCTACAGGTTTTATAGCTGTGGAGACCCTGAAGAGACAGTTGGAGCTTTGCCTGCTTCTGGGCACCAGGACCCTGTCACATAGCTGCAATCCTCCCGTAGAATTTTGGCCATCAGTCACATAAGATCAATGTATCAAGATGTTTCACATGTAGATGAAGTATCCCTAACATCCCATAGAAATACAATAGAAATGAGACATGACCAGTGGTCACATAGGCTCAAGACACAGATAGCCATTCTAATGGGGTACCTCAAAGACCAGAGGGTGTTTCCAATAAGATTCTTTTCCCAGACATTTCTCCTTGCTAAAAGTATTTAATCTCAGGCCTACTCTGAGAAGTAGGATATGTATTTATGCATCCACTCTTCACCATGGCAATAAAAGATTCAGAACCATGACTATTTCATTGGGATTTGTCTTGGAGAGCCATGGAGAAGGCCTTTGCCTCCAAAGCCACTAGAAGGCCTCTCTGCACTCCAAGCAACAATTGCCACCAAGCTGGCAACCCATCAAGCCTAGGACAGTCCTCTAGGGACCAGTCAGAGCTAATGCTTTCCCCACCTCCTCTCCCTCAACAACCCTTTGGCCCTAGGCTAGACCCAGCCCATTGGCCTCCACTCCATTCTCAGCACTTATGCACTCCCAGAGGTACCTGGGTCCAAGAGCCTGAGAGCCTCATGGCCCCAGTCTTGTCTCAGGACTGAGGACCACCAAGCCAGCTCTGGCATTCCAATGTCTCAAAATATGTTTTCCCACCCCATATGGTGCCTTGGCATCTTCCTACAATCCAATACCAATCAGGTGAGGAGTAGGATAAGCTCAAACTCCCTGAGTCCAGCCTCCCCAAGTGAACATGCCCAGTGGCTGAGTAGATATGGGGACCACAACCCTACAATGCCATGGGAAGGATCTTCGGTGGCTTTTTGTTGTTGTTGTTCTGGAAGAGGAAACAATGGATTGTGACACCAATCCGCCTTAAAATTTTTTTACACTAGAAGGAGCATATGATCTTACTCATTTACAATGACAAAAACTGCAATTTCTCAGAGAACATGTGATTTTGTTCTCACTAGAGAGTAAGAAGGGTGAAGAGATGGCAGTAAAATGATGTCGCTGAGTGGCAGATGCATTTTATTGGAAGCAGTTAAAGCATCCTGTAATTCAGGAGGGAAACTTTAGTTACATAACATATTTATATATCAAAATAATATATATATATATCAAAATAATATGAGATGCATTTAAAGTTCTCTAGTACAACATATAATAAATGTTTGAATACAGAGGTCCACTATGTGGATATATATATATATATATATATATATATATATATATATATATATGTCTGTGTGTGTGTGTGTATATACATATACACACACATATATATATATATAACATTAATATGCTTTCAAATAAAAATATCAAAATTAGAAATTGCTGACCTATGTGTCTGATAGCCATGGCATCTAAAAACTGTTGTTAATATAATCCAAATTACATATACTTCTCATCATATACAATACATTGTATAAGGTAATATAAATTACATTAATATGTAAATTTTCTAAATAATAATATAAGCAAAAAGATTTTGAGCGTAATGAAATGGAAGATTTGAGTCTTAGTGTCAAGCAACTCAAACATCCAACCTTAGTCAGAAGTGAGATGAGATTATTTGTCAATACAAATCAATGAGACAAAGAAAAATTTGAAAGATATACTACTGGGAGAAATCTCTGTCTTTTTCAGTTGTAACACTGATATAAAATGTAATAAGTTGTATAAAGTATAATTTTAAGTATACCTGCCGATTTATTTTACAGATGTATAAACAAGTCATGTATGGCAGGAAAAAAAGAAATGAGAAATTTAAGACAAGTAAGTCATTACATAAAGATGTCTTAAATGTAGGAAATGTAGGTCTCAATGCAAAATGTGTTCTCCATGAAGCATTACTGAGAGACAGAGGCCCTCAGCTATTAGAAATTTTACAACTCCAGTGTCCCATCTTTTGAGTTAATTTACAGAATCAATGTCACAGAAAACTATTTTTGAAGGTATATTTTAAGTGTCAACTTAATTTTTCTAAAACTAAATTTTTGTAAAATTTAGGCTTCTTTTTTCATGAACTGCTACTCATCCTTGACCAGATTGCAACTTTAACACATATGCCTGTCAGCTCTGATTAACTGTGCAAACAAAAACCTAAAGTCTGATCATAAGATCTTTAGGAATTCTGTGTCAAAGAGCAAAAACTCAGAGAGTCAAATAAGGCTTCTTTTGCTTGAATCCACGTGCTGCAGGCAATATGATGAGTCTGGATCAATTCAGAGCATGATATGAGAAATGTCAGATCTGGTCATAGATTTTCTTCAGGGCTATAATGCCAGAAGTAGACCTGATATCCAGGTTCCACAGACATAATGACCTGGTCAGCATGCCTCTGTATCTTTGATATTGTCAAGAGCATCCTATCATTTTGTAGGAAATGACATGTCTCTACTATCCATAAATAAGCAAAGATACAGCTGATTGAAGAAGAATGAATATTTCTGTCCTGTGGAACGTGTGTGTGTGTGTGTGTGTGTGTGTGTGTGTGTGTGTGTATGTGTGAGAGGGAGAGAGAGAGAGAGAGAGAGAGAGAGAGAGAGAGAGAGAGAGAGACATCACTGAGTGCTTGCTTACATAACATGCGTATTCCAGAAATTCATTCCAAGCACATTCATATCAATCAGGTTTGTGCTCTGTCTGTTCTTTTATATCCTCCTTTCCAGTGACACTTATGATCACAGAGTGAACTCTTGATGGACTAATATCATTGACAATGTTTGGCACTGTTGATAGTTTCTAAAAATAGTGTCCATTAGTACAACCTCTTTCTTAATCATGACAATGAAAGCTATCTTCAAACATTGGGTAAAAAGCATGCTTATAACTTGACAAGTAATAGCATGATAAATCTTTTAGAAACAAAGACTCAATCAATTATCCCTGTGACATTTAATCTGACATCAGAAATCAACCAAGTTTGACCTCAAAACAGCTATATTTTAAGTTTTAAGACAAAAGGAAAGTCTGTAGAACTTTTTATAGAAATGTGAGGGGCTGAGATACCAGGATATAAAACAATAGCGTCAGAGTGTTAATCCTCTCTCTGTTCCTGCTTATGGAGGTGAAACTATACTTAGTGCATCCTGTAAGTTTCCTACTGGTTTTCAGCACTGCTGCAGGAAGTTTATGTCTGGGTTCACATTGAAGCTCACTCACTGTGGTTTTCCCTGGAACAGTAATACATGGCTGTGTCATCAGCAGTCACAGAGCTCAACTGGATAGAGAATTTGTTCAGTGATGTGTCTCTGGAGAGGGTGCTGCGGCTTTTGAAGGATGGACTGTAGAAAGTGTAACCATCATAACGTATGCACCCCATCCACTCTAACCCCTTTCCTGGGGGCTGACGGATCCAGTGCCAGCAATAACCACTACTTGAAATGGAGAATCCAGAGACTGTGCAGGTGAGGGACAGTGGCTGTGATGGCTCGGTGACAGCAGGTCCTGATTCATTAAGATGAATCTGAGACAAAATGCCTAAAAACAGGGTTGTTGTCTGTCAGTAACCTGGAGTCACAAGCCCCCAAAGAACCCATGTGTGACATAAGGGACCCAGTCAGTGATACTCACTTTGCAGAGCTGCTGCCAAGCACAGGAGAAACTCTAGTAGTCTCATCTTCTAGATATAAACACTGTGTTCCACAGAGAAGCCAGCTTTTTCTGGGCAGAAATTTCTGTACTACCACAGCAAAGAGGGGCATTTAAATCTAGAGCTTGAAGATTAAT